TACAGCACTGCAATGTGTGACGGACAATGCTGTTCTCTACGCGAGTACATTGCAATGAAGTTTTTAATGATTAAATTATAATTTTTCTTAAAGATATGATACACATACTTTGAAAAGAGCAAATGGTATATTTATTTAAATGGAAAGCAACCGCTCATTGGCGTATCAGAAACAAAGACTGTGTATTCTGTCTGTATATTGTTAACACTGTTATAAATCGATGTGAAGGCAAAAAAAGTGTGAAACATATGAAAATGATCATTTGATTCAAATGGTGAACGAGTGAGCTATTAGTGGCGTATAGTGCCTAAAAGGTTAAGAGGAAGTCAATCCTTTGAATTGTCAAGTTTACTGAAAATTTAGTCGCAGTAATTTCTTGTAACTGCCTCTTTATTGATTTGTCAATTAACGCTGCGTTTTTTCACATCGATGAATTTGCCACCATCGATACTTTTCGACGATCGTGGCACGGTAATCGGTAAGTTACGGGATGAAATAATTGCGCCGAACTTTCAGCACGGAAAATTGCGATGTCACTCCGGCGACATGAATAAATTGAAATGTAAATATTCGCGGTGCTGCATCGACGTACACGTCGTCAATATCTAGACGTACATCAATGTGTTTTCGCGATAAATATTTATACGAGTGAATTTTCTTTTATCGAACGATATTTTCCACAGCGAAGCTCAATTCGAACTTAATAATAGATTGATTTTGCAACAAAATCCATCAAACACAACTTTCTGTGCGTGATGTTTTCGAAAGAGGTGAAAACAAAAAAGCTTTTACTCAAATTGTCAATACTTGAGCCTTCGTAATTTTGTTCGGAAAAGATAAACAGAATTGCAATTCATATTTGGAAATAGAGAACTGACTCGCATAAATATTTCGGTCGATACCGATTTACGAGAATCGATTGTCGACGTATCAATCCTCAATTAGTATCGTCGTGTTGTAGATAATTTAATTTAATTTTATACTTATCGTTCTCCACGATTAGTATTCAAATAAAATTAGATTAGTAATCAAATCAAATTAAATTAAATTAAAGTTTCCGAACTCGAATAATTTAATGCTAAATTTATCACTGATACAGTTTTATGTAATATTTCCGCGGATATTTAATACACGTTCTCACGTTATCTTGCAGCTTCTCATAAATAACGTAAGATAAGGTAGAATATCAAGGTTCTTGCTTCGTTTGCGCGTAGAACAGGTCGAAAGAGGAAACCGAGACTGAGCAATCAAAAACGAGAGGCGTTCTTACTTCCGGACAACTTGCCTGCTATTACGTTCATTACATGCAGGCATTAACGAACGTGGACAAAAACGGGGAAGAGAACGGAGGGAACTGCTTCGGTTGACTCCTCTGGTAAACCTTGGTAAATTAGTGTTTTCGCCGTTGAACTGTAGACTATTACGGTGCAACGATCCCGGGTCTAGCATGTAATAATTGCTTCGACTTACGGGCGCCAGGCCGTCTTTGAAAAATAGAAAAGAAAACCGATGTAATACGCTCGTATATATATTTTACCGTGACATGTTTAAAGAGTGAGCGCTTCTAAGCGCGATATTTCTGTTTCTCGCCGTTGAAGACGGGTTCTTCGTTGATTAAACACGTCGTAAAAACACTTACGCCTCGTCTCGCGTTAACAGTCTCTCGAAAAAGTGTTAACGTCGACTCATGTACTCAGTCGCTGACGAAGGTGTTGGGGAACACTCGTGAAAACGTTTCACGAATATATTTTTAGTTTGCTGTAC